TATAAACAGTACTGAATCCCCAATTACCATAAAATAGTCAACAAGAATAAATCTGAAAGTTTCTTCCAAGTCACCTAAGAACTAGCTGGAACCCTATTGAACTCAATGCGAGAAGAAAAGCCAGTTCTGTGCCAGCAATTAAAAGGAGGCCACATTAGACTTGGCTATGTCAAGGAATGAAAAAAAATCATAAACACATGATTTATCTTTTGTCATCTAAGAAAATGACATTATTTCAATGTTTCCCCCAGCTGTATTTATAGGTACTAACAAAAGATGTCTAATGGGTGAACTTGAAACACACACCAACTTCAAGTTGCTACACTGTCACAAATGCTGTCCACCTTTTAGGTAAGATATTGATTTACATACTCTTCTGTTGCGTTTCCAAGAAATATTCTATAGAAAGTGTAGTGATATTTTGGGATAAACTGAATTGCTGAAAAATATCTCACTGTCCCTTGGTTACTGTGATTATCCACATAGGACCATTAAGTCACAGTTCAGGGAAAATGAAAAGAATCAGTCATCTTGCCTCTAGCTGAGCCTCTCTGAACAAGTCCATTCCCTCTATGCACAGAAAAGTTCCTTCTGTCAGGTGAGAGGTTGGCTACATGGCCTCGATGGCCCACCTGAGCTCAGATACTCTAATATCCTGTTGGGTCTGCAAATAACCACACAGCCACCTCCAAACATCTCACATATGTTCTTTAAAACGACTCCCCAATTACAAGTGCAAATGATTAGAAATTTTATTTCAAAACACTAAGATAGTTTAATTGCCTAACTCTGTAAAGTGTCATGGATGTATATTTTTATATCTGATGTAAATGGGTTTACCTTAATCCCACTACAGCCAGAATCTCTATTGTTATCCTCTCTACATTCTGAAACTCCTCTACTGTCAGAGTCATTGGGTAACAAAAAAGCTACTTAGGTTCTCAGTATATGTGATTCTTTCATTTGTCATCTCATTTTGCACTCCATATTCCCCATATTGCAATTGTACTAACATTCATCAAACAAGGACTTCACTTTATACATTCCTTGACTTTGTCATTCCTCTCATTTTTGCATCGGGATTCCCATGTCCTAATTACATACAAAGGCAAGTGAACTCAAATGATAGTTGCTCATGAAATCTTCCCTGTCACTTCCCTAGAAAGATGTAATGAACAATGTTGATATTTTATTCTTTATTTTCCAACAATTTCAACATCTGGTGAGTCACATGATAAAATAGCACAACACAGTCTTTATTTTGTGTACTTTTGAATTATTTAATTATCTCCTCTGTAAGACTAATCATTGCTCTAGAGTAAGGACATGATGACACTAACCTTTTTATCTCCATGCCTGGTCCATAGTGAGATCTTAATAAATGTTGGGCGAATGATTAAATTTGTGAAATTAAACACATGTCCCAAATAAAAACATGGATACAAAAGTGAACAGTGCTAATGTTGAGGAATCCTTTTCTTTGGCAAAAGGAGAAAAATGTCCTGTTTAAATTTTATTCCAAGAACTTGACAGTTTTCAAAGTTGTTATATGAGAGGCCCTCTGTTGTACCCCATACTATACAACATTTCACAAATAAGTTCATTTTCCCTTAGATTCATGAGTCAAAGCAGTCTAACAAAGGTGATTCAGACTTGTTCACTCAAAACATGCCTGAAGAGTAAGAAATCATAAACCTACTAGTCTACTTTAAATAGTCAGGTGACTCAATGAGTTTTGCAATTTACTTTGGATCAAAAATAGAAACATCAAAATTGGGCATTAACAGTCTACACTTCCATGACTTTCCAAACTCCTTTTAATTACAATACAACATAGTCTACAGCAGACGTCTTTCTTGGCACATAGTTTTAATAATTTAAGTGTGTGATTATTATTCTCACAGCATATAATTATGCTAACTAGTAAAGACTAACATGTCTAACTCAGTTTCACCAGACAGAAAATAATTCAGAAAAGTGAGCTCTACCTCCCAATTAACTCTTGCTTTTCTAAATTTCAACAATGAAAAGTTGCAATGGCCACTCTTTAAGTCCTCAATGAAAGAGGCATAATGACATTAGGTTTCATTTTATTTTCAACATATTCTACTTAAGAGTTATCATTATTAATTTTTTAATCTTTTGGATGTATTCCATTTTATGAAAGAGCCATATTCAAGAGCTACTCTTACTCATGACTGATTTCATTACTTTTGTCATTGCTAAAATATTTTTTAAAAACCATAACATACTTCAGTATGGTTCTAGAATTAAAAAAAAAAAAGAGGATGTGTAGATTTACATAATGGAATAACTACTTAGCCATAGAAAGTAAAGATGAAATCCTGACATTTGCAACAATATAGAAGTTAAAGGGCATTATACCCTGAAATAAGACAGAGGGATAAAGACAAACAGTGGATGATTTCATTTATATGTGGTACATTTATATGTTCTACACAGAGAAACAACAAATGGACTAAAAAATGAAAAAGAACAACTTTTAGGTTATAGGTTCAAATTAGTGGTTAACAGAAGGGAAAATGGGTGGGACTAGGTCAGTAAGGTATAAGGGGTTAACTGTGTGGTAAGCGATAGAACTAGAGTTTTATTATTGAATTTAATGTTGTATATACAAATATTGATTTATAATTAGGCAAATCTGATATCTGTTTAATGTTAAAAACCGAAACTTTTTTTTTTTAAATCAAAACAGTTCTAAAGTCAAGGTCCACTTATCCCCACATTGTCGTCATATGTCTTAAGACAAGTCAGTTGTCTACTAAGTCTGTTTCCTCATGCACAAAATGAGCATACCAACTATATCTGAGATATCTGCCTCTTTCTCAAGTGAGACTGTATGTGAAAGCGCTTCAGACTCAGGAAAGCACTGTGCAAATATCAGTGATTATGAGTCTGTGTACATAGTAAGATTGCTCAAATAAAAATGTAGCTGGTGAATAAACCCATTAAAATGCAGTGGCTTATAGGAGGCATGTGTAGACACAGTCTTCAAGAATGAAGACAAAAACCTCTAAGCCAAGTCTCACCAGTATATATTAAGGTATAATAATTTTACAGAAAAAAAATTAAACAAAAACCCTGTTATAAAAAGGGGAGATAGGAGAGTGAAATAGAAGTATTCAAGCATCTAAGCTCAGTGGCAAATTCAGTGGTTTTGCTGGGGACAACACCAGGCTTGAGGCACGTCCTCAGAGGGATGAGAACCAAAGTTTAAAGCTGAGCAGAGATCAGAAATCATGAAGTATGCACTGCTTGTAAAGAATAATTCTCAGCCTCAGGTCAATCTTTCTGATTCCTACCAGAGTTGGTATTGTTTCCTATGATCCATTTTCATAATGAGTTTTAGCTTGCCCCGTTTGAGAAAGTTCAACTATTGTCCCCTTACATATAAATAACTAAAAATTTAAGCAGGCTTTCAAATTTGTCCACAGGCTCTCAGGAGGAAACCTCTGGTCCAAAAGTCCATCCAGGCCTTCAGTGGCCTTGTCTGCTAACACGCAGCTGCTCCAGCTCATTGGATGCAGCATGTACCTTTCCCCTCTGTGGTTCAGGTTATACTCCCCTCATCTCCAAAAAGCACAATTCCACACATCCTTCCAGCTGAACAGGTAAGTCTTATAAACCTTTTCAGATTCTGTCACCTTCAAAACAATCTACCACTCTCTCCTTGTGCTTTTACAAATTAGTCATTGTAGAATAATATTAAGGTCTCGGGTGATGACATGTCGGTTTTATTTTTCTCCTTTCAACCATCTACTTCTCTTGTCCTAACAGTTACCCCAAAAGATCACCATGCTTGCTTCATACCTGTGCTCAGCACATATTTACTGGGAAAAAAAAAAGGGGGATTTTTACTATTTTTTTACTATTGCAAGCCCAGGGGAACCAAAAGCAAAGAGAGCTATTGAAGAAGAGCCAAGCTCTTGTGTGTGTTGCTATGCGTGCCCGATAGCTGACACTCCCATTATATGTCTAGGAAAGGTAATAGGAACATCTCTAAAAAGGACTTTTATGCTGTGAGGTGTTGAGATGACATAGCAGAGGAGCAGAACTGGTATAAAAATTGTGAATGGAACCACTTTTAATTCAAGAGCTGCTGTTCAAAAACTGTCATATGCACTGTCACTTAGTCAAGCAAACATCATAGAGAGTCAAACAACATAGTGACTAGAGTGCTGGCCCAGGGTTTGCATCTAAAACTGCTGGCTGTCCTCTGAGGACACAGAAGCACTGAAATGGATTTACCATTAATGTTTCAAGAACTCAGTGAGGTAGGGAACAATCACTCACAGGAAAATATCAGTTTCTGAAAGGCAGACATTATATTAAGAAGCAGAAAACTAGTCAAGCTCCACAGTAAGGAAAGAATCCAAAGAAAAATTGCTAACAAGGCACCATTTGCACTTAAAAAAGAGATTAGTTGTTATCACCAAAATCTGGTGATTCTGAGGAGAAAGTGATATATTCAAATAGATGATGCCAGTATAAGGTATCCACAATCTTTGGAAAGAAAAGAAAGTAGGTACAAACTATCAAAGGAATATGAGTTGGGAAACATACAAAAGCAGTATTACTTACAACCAAAATATGGAAGTCACCTCAATATCCAACACAAGGAATTTCTCTACCAAAGACATAGCCCTCACTTTCAATATAGTCAAGCTCAGATGGTCAGCACGTAATGAAACATCCACATAGTCGCAGCCAGAAAAAAGAGCAAGGCAACGGAAAAAAAAAAAAAAAAACACATTTAATTTTTCAAGCACTGTTATATAATGATGTTGTGTTACTTTAAAGAAAATGCTAATTGCATCAATATGGTTCTGTCAATTAACACAAGTTGATATTAAATAAAAGGACAACTCTGATGACTGATTCTGAGAAGAAGAACACAGAATGAAAGGGCTCAAGAAGTAGAGCTCTTTGTTGATTCACATTCTAGGAAAGGCAAAGGGAGACTGATGGACAGCCCTTACCTGTGGAGGGCGAGGCTTATAGGGGGAGCTGCATTCAAGGTCAGCCAGGATGCTAGTCAATGAGTCAATCTCCGCATCCAGGCTGGAGCGTCTCTCCTCAAGGGTCTTGCCTCCAGGATTTCCCTGCCGGGAGCAACACAGACATGTTACAGAAGGAGATTTGTAGTTTCCATTGATAAGATTAGGAGTTCAAAGTTCTCAAGTAATAGTATGGCTTTCTGCCAGCTTTCCTGTACCTCATTTATTTAGCTTTTATAAGACCTGTATAAGGTTGGAAAGAATTGTTATTCTTTTCTGACAATAAGAAAATAGAGGGTGCTTATTTTATACAGATTATTTAAAAAAAAAATTATGAGTCTAGAAGTAAAAGGAAATAATTGTCTCCAGCCCTGCACTCAAAGTGCAGATGCAACCTGGGAGATGATGCAAGTTCACTGTGCTTAGAAACCACTGTGTACAATGATGACACTTTAACTGGCACAGGAAGAGACAAGGGAGAGAGAAGTGAACTCAGATGGTGATCAATGGATATTAGAGGTGCTTGTGTGTGGGAGAAGTGAGGAGTCCCATGTGATGTGCCTCAAAAGTGAACTAGGCTAAGACTGCTTAGGGTTCTGGTCAAGGGGACACAGATAAAGTGCGTGGCAGTGTCTTAACTGACCATGAAACTGGGGCTCTGTTTATTTCACATGCATTATTTTGTGCTCTCAGAAGCACCCACTTCTGATTGCTCACAGGCTCAAAGGGGCAAGTGAATGGCAATAACCCTGCCACCAGGCCATGCCTCACAATTGAGAACAGGGTTGGGAAAAAGTTTGCTTAGAACATAATGCAAAGAAAAATAAAGTGAGTGGCCATAAGATAGGGAGTGGGGTGTGTTAAAATAATCTCTTATGGTGACACGGTGATAACTGTCATGCATATGTGACGGGAGAGTCTCTGAAGACTCCATCAAGAAACCAAAGTGCTACTGCAGGCAGACCAAATAGGAAGGAACTAATGGGCAGTTAGTGTAATTTAATCAACTCTATTGAACTTGTCTAAGGAAGTTAAACATCAGGACAGTATCTGGAAGAGTTTAGAAAAAGCATTTATTTGCCAAGTAAACACTATATCCCAGCAACAACAAAAAATAGGTTATCTGGACAACCTAGTACTAAATTTTATAACATTCTAATTTATCCTTTTAATGAATATGCTGCATCAGGCAATGATAGCGTAAGACCACTAGTTCCTTTGCTCCTAGTAGGTCGCTTACAAAACCACCTTTCACAAGTCCTGGAACTTATTTTAAGTCTTTGCGTAAAGCAACCCTAATGGGCTCTAGGGCACCAATCCATCTCTTGTGACTTTCACCAATGTGACCTCATGGACCCGTTCTATCACTGGCACACTGATACTAATTCCTGGAGCCGTGGTCCAGTTCTTTGGAGCCAAACCACAAGATTGTCACCAGTCCCTGAGGCAGTGGTATACTTACTTGTGAATTATCTCCAAATCACATTACCTGAAGCAGCCTTCTCATCATTTTCTCTTTCTTGGTGGATCTGTATGATGACTGGATGGTACCCTATCTCCTCACTCTGTTTGGCTTATTTTTCTCACAATATCTACCACCATCTAATAGTACTTTCATGTGCATTGGTTGTCCATTTTCAGTGTCCCCCAGGGGAATGTACATTTCATGAAGGTGAGGACTTTATCTGATTGACCTATTCTCCAGAGTCTTTCTTAGGGACTAATCCATGGAAGTCTTCAATAAGTACTTTTGAATCAATAAGGGAATGAATAATCACAGTTTCTGCCACAGGTTGAGCCAGTAACCTTTACCATGTCAATTTTTTTTTTTAGATAAAGGCAGCTAGAAATACACTGCAGGAGCAGTAGGAACTGTGCTGTATCGAGTATACAGTCTGGTATAACAAGGGAGCCAAAGCTCAGTTTTCCTGTGTGTCTGAATTTTATACTGTGTGGTTCAGATTTGAAAATTGCCTTGTGAAAATTAAGAGATTTTCCTCAGTTTCTTTGTATAGCCAAAGATGTAAAGACAGTGAAATGACATGTTAATTATGTTTTCTAAGAGACTAAATTTCTACTTGATCACATCCTTTAAAGTCAGTAGGTTTTTGCCTTAGAATAGATGCTTTTAAAGTGTTAACACCTCTATCGGAGATGACCTCATGTTTATTCTACAAAGTATTAAATAATTATAAACTATTTTACTACCATTAAAAATTCTTTTGGGCCTCCAGGGTGGCACAGGGGTTAAAGTCTTTGTGCTATCAAGCTATCTTCAGCCACTGCTTGGTGTGAGTTTGATTCCCAGCCAGGTAGTTAACCCACATGGTGCAGTAGACCTTTCTTGTCTCACCCACTGTTCCCCTCAGGAGTGTATTTTAGTAGACCTGCCTTTTCTGCTCCCCACTCTTTCTGGTGAATCCACTCACCCCCAGCACCTCTGACCTACACCCAAGCTCTTATATGCATCAATAAATGAATGAATGAATGAATGAATAAATTCTTTAAACATTTAAAATCCATGTGAACATTCTGGACAGTAGATCACAAGAACTGCACACATCCAATTCTCTTATTACAGATATGAAATATTGTAATAAGCATGAATTTGGTAAACATATTTCCTATACTCATGGACATGTAATATATTAGAAAAAAATTATGGGTTGGATTCTGGCTAAATTCTTCCCTGGATCAGTTTCCTCACCAATTAAACAAGGAGAACATCAACTGCTTAACCTAAGTCATAGGTCTATTGAAAGATTCTGATGCCAAAATGGATGGGAAAATACTTTGTGCATTGTAAAAATGTTATAATTATAATGATTTTCATAAATAGCATTAAGTATAGTAACCAATAACTATAAGTTAATAGGAATAATATAGCTATTGTTAATTATTATTCTTAAGGGGACCATCATTTGTAGGGGTTCCCTTGGGATAACTGTAAGGAGACATGATTTAATCAGGACTTTAGCATCTGTACTTTACCGTGGCAGAAAACACATCAAAACTGGCCATGCCCTAAGTATTAGAATATCTAACCACAGAGACGTACAAGTCACATTATTACCCTGAGCTAGACAGGGAAACAAGTCATTAGAGTGTGGAACCAGCTTGTGCATGCAAGACTTCAATTGCCATTTAGACTCCTTATTCTCCACTCCTTCTCATATGATTTATTCCTCACTTTTAGTTTCTCACATTAAGTTGATACAATCTAATTTAACAAGCCCCTAATTCTGTGGGATTTTGTACCAAGTCCCTCCTTGCAGCCTTTCCTAACCTTCTGATAAGAGCTCTGCTCCTCCACTGCAATCCCCATTATGGATTCATTAGACTCTTTGTCATCCTGATTTTTTTTATTTTATTTTTATGTCTCAGTTCAAAAGTCTCACCACCAACAACCTTTCTCTTGGTGCTCACATCTACTCTCTTAGCACCTTTATAATCAGATAACTTGCTACTCTCAACACATTCTACTAGATATGATGCCAGCATTCTATAACCAAGTAACAGGATCCTTCACACTTACAAACAAGTCTCCTTGGTAACTCTCTATCATCACTATGGCTTTGCCAGTCACCTGATGCTTAAATGACCTGCCCCAAGCCAAAGAGCAGTAAGATTCCTCTGACTCTTTGCTAATGATTTTTTTATAGATACCACACAAGCCCTTAAAAAACAGTCATTGTAATAACAACTCTCACATGCTTCAATCATGAGAGGTTTCCTTGTTTAAGTCCAGATTCTGCAAAATCCAAAATCTAAAGCCTAAGATAAAGACTTATACACAGATCAATTTCTTAAGAATCTGTCCCAGGAAACAGTATTAAGGGCGTGGGAAGAGTTAAGCAAGGAAAAGGGGGGAGTCAATTCAAAGGTACTGTTTTGAGCCAGTCAGCGTTTGGGTAACTAGGGCTCCATTCTCTTGAGAGCCCTCTTACCTCTAAGGAGTCCTGTGAACTGTGCCTCACATCTTCATACCTCAAAGATGAAAGAAAAGAATATCTATCCTCAGACTACTGTAGACTTCTTAAGTTCCTCATACTTGGTCTAGCAGAAAAGCTCCAGGACAGAAAGTGAGAGAAATATATGGCAGCTCATACCAGCAGAGATGGTCACTGCAGCCCCGGCTGGTGTACGAAGGTAGGACAAGAGGATAAGAGGTGGAGGCAAAAGTATGTCTCTTTCCTAACAGATGCTAAACCCTCATGAGCAGGTCATTTATATCACTTTTGATGAGGTACTTCCTTTAATTTGTTTAATAAATAGGTTCATGCTAAAAGCTCACCAAATTGCAACTGGGCCTTGAAAAATCATAATTTTGTGTCACTAGGAGAATTACAGAGTGATAACTCCACATCAATGCATGACAGTAGACTTAAAATCAGAGCCCCAAACCAAAATGTGTAGCATGTGAAGTCATTTCCAGGAGTCTCACTAGAGAGGGGTCATGCTTTAGCCCATGTATGTCTACCTAGTGGACCCACCACAGGACCTAGGCAAGGAGTCCAGTATTGAGTTTTGAAAGAATATCAATTTTATTTATTGACAATTTGTATCCAAACATTTTACAATGAACAATTAGTAAATTAAACTCACATCATTCACCCAGATTTATCAGAGGTCAAGATTTTGCCATTCATAGTGCCAGATTGTCTTTCTCTCTGTCTGTTCTATTTGTCATTGCAGTTAAATCTTTTTTTTTTTTTAAGTTGCAGATACCTTCCCTCCACATATTCAACTGCATTTATTCTGTACTTCTAATTGCACAATATCTTTTCAAGCCCAAGAAATTTAACATGAGAGTAGAATTAGCTAATGCACACATATTGAAATTTTACCAGCAATTCCAGTAATGTCCTTTTATCTAGATTAATTTCCATCCAGACTCCAATCAATGGTCATACATTGACATGATGTGTCATTTAAGTCTTTTTTGCCTTAAACTAGCTCCCTACCCTATTTTTGTCTTTCATGAAACTGGCTTTTTTGGGTTTTTTTTAAGAATTCAGCTTCGCTTTCAGAAAAAAATTTAACTATCTGGCTTTTTCTGTTGATTGGATTCACATTAAACAAGCTTGGCAAGGATTTTACATACA